AGCTTCCCGGTTGCCCTGGGGGGGGTTCACTCGACCCCTGCGAGCCGTGGGGGGGGGGGGTGCCGAGGGCGGCGCGTCGTGCTGCCAGCTCGGTTCCTCGGGACCGCGTTTTCCCGTCCTCGGCGTTACTACGCTGAAGAGCGTGCCTGGGTGAAGATGCGGCTTTCCCTCATGGCGCTGGTTATCTCGTGAGGCTTAATGAAGCAGCACGGAAAACCGTGTTTGGGAGGAACGCGCTCGTGCGGCGGGGAGCAGGTGATGCTCAGGGGGAGCAAGGGAGCGAGCCGCCTTCGCTTCGGAGGCGATAGTGCTGGTTTAATTTCAGTTTTGTATTGAAATCCGCTGGTGCTACTGGCGGTAGCACGTTTCACCAGGTGAAATCAGCGATACGGGTTACCAGTTCAGTTAGGCGTCGCTGACGTTACTTTTTTAATTGGTAAGAATCCGTATTCTAGTGAAGCAGATTATTAAAAATGAACTGTTGCCTCTAACTCGAAAGGCGTGGTATGCAGCCTCTGAAACAGGGCGCTTGTGCACTTGTTTGCTGGTCGGCACAAAGCAGCCCAATTTGCTGCTGACTGCTTAATGACATTAAGTGACAGCTGTCAGCTCAAGATAGAAACGGGTCACTTGCTGAGTAACCAGATAGGTAGAGCAGAGCAGCCCGTCAAAATTACAGAAGGAATTTCTCAGAAGTGACTCAGTTAACGGAATTCTGCTCTGCATGCTTTTCTTACCTGAGCTTTAAAGGTTAAAAACATTAAAAGCAAAAAAAAAAAAAGGTGAAGTTTTGGGTCAGTCTGTTTGGTGGCTTCCCCGGCGGGTTAGGTCCTTTTTGCACAGCCGAAATACATCGTGTCACAGGAAGAGAGTGACTCAATTTGAAATATAATCTCATTCTTGAAAAACGGAGTATTTCTCCTGGTTGTAGTCCTCAGCAGATTTGTCTAGTGGTATAGTCATTTCTTTCATTTTAGAAATAACCCTTTGTTGACAGATGTAAGGCTTTAGAAATTAAAAGAGGAAATCGGAGTAATGAACTCAAAATGAAGGGAAAGTATGAAGCGGGCTGCATAAAGTGGTTTCGAATGTAGGGTGTCTGTGTCATCTGAAGATATTTTTGCCCTACAGGTACCAAATAATTTTGGTCATTTGTGGTCCTTTGTTGTATATATGCTAATTCTAGTGAGATAATACCTGTTAAAAAGGGGGTTCCACAGCAGGATAAGCTATAGGGAAGAGATTTTTGCTTTCAGTTTGCTTGTTTTAATTGAGGTAATTAGCCAAATTTTATTTGATCTAGGTTTTGAAACACTTGCATTAATAATCTCATGTACTATTTAAGCCAGAAAGTTCACAAGGGTGGAACAGAATGATGTTTTTCTTGGTAGTTACCTGGTAGTAAGTCCTGAAGCAAATGCACTTCCTCCAGACAATTACCTATTTTATTTTTTTCCTGACGCATGATTGCAACCATAAAAAATAAATATATTATCTGCAGAGTTTCAGGTTCAGCTGGAGCTCTTGAGTCCTTCATTTTCCTTGCCTTTAGTCTTTGTAATGTAAATTATCTCTAGCTCGAGAGTACAATGTCAGCCCTGGAGTTTAAGATTAGAAATTCCTTAATGTCATGAGGCAGTCAGTCGTGCCAGTCATGAGGGATGCACTCTCTGATACTGGTGTCTAAGTGGCTGCTGTTGAATGCTGTTTCTACAGTACCTGTTTTGATTGCTTTTCACTACTTCTGATTCTTAGGTGAGACATCTGTATATTTGTGATTTCCACAAGAACTTCATTCAAAGTGTCCGAAACAAAAGAAAGAGGAAGACAAGTGATGATGGAGGTGACTCTCCTGAGCATGAAACGGATGTCCCGGAGGTTAGTAGGTGCCAAGTGGGCTTAGGATGCTTTACCAATTTTGAGAACGTTGAATTTTGACTTGGATGTTTACATGTATCGGGAAATATTTAAATTTTAAATTGCAACTCCACTGAAACTGCTATGGAGTTACTCTCATTTTTCAGGAAGACTTTTTTCTGATGTGTAATGTCCTAATTTTCTTCTTCATCCCTGTATGAGTTCTTTGCCCGTGTAAAGTTTTCTCTAAAAAGAGGTATGATAAGGTAACTGCACAGCTTCATGTATGTACTGCTTCCAAACAGGGCGCTGTTAAAACAGTATTTGACACTAATTCTTTTTTAAAGGTAAAAATAAATTGTTTTCAGTGGTGACTGAGGCCCTGATATGGTTCTTTGTTACCTAGCGTGCATCGTTTTGCAAATACACTAGAAAATCCAATAGGTCAGTCTCTCTATGTTTGGGTATATGATATCCAGGGATATTAAGCTTCTCCGGACCTTCACATGTATGGTATTTTTGGCACTATTTAAAACTACCTTCAAATAATTCGTAAAATCTTTTTATTTTCAGGAAATAGGCCTTTTCTTTTCTTTTTTTTTCTCTGTGTTACAGAACTCTAGAATAATCTCTGTGCCATTGTGTTCTCTATTTGCTTTGGTGATGTTTCTGGTACTGTTGACACTGCAAAAAGTTGTGCAGAGGTGATGTTCGTGGAGGAGCTGAGCTCTGGCCACGTCAGCAGAGCCCTCTGCTGGAAATGCCACCCGTATTGGCAAAAGCATTTTATTACCGGAAAAAACCACTACCAAGAATTGTTTTGCCAGCAAAGCTGTGTCTTGACTGCAAAGCTGCGTCCACACACCGCCTGTGTGGAGGTGTTGGAAGAGTAGCAAGTTTTTGGTTTGTTCTTTTTAAGGATACCTAGCCTTTTGTTGTAGCTGTTTGTGTTTCCATTCTACAAGGTTCTCCATCAAAACTTTCCTATACAGGCTTTACATTAGTTGCCAGGACGATTGGTGAAGACCCAGCTGGCATCTAAAAATGTTAGTGCTGTAGAGCATGCAGGGTATTTGGTGGTTAGAAAGTGAGGGATGCACGTCACCTAACTGAATAGGGAGCTCTGCAGTGTGTCAGTTTTAATGTCATTTTCTTCTTGGTTTTCAGCAGAGATTTCTTTTGTCTTTGAAACATGGCATTTCCCACATGATCTTCATCTTCCTTCCTGTAACCTCCCCCACCACCACCCTTGCTTTTAAACTGTCCGCTTCCCATTTAAGTATTTGAATTTCATTTCTTCTCTGTACTCTGTTTTATGTCACAAGCCATTTGTTCAGTGCCTGCTAAATTGATATTTCATGTGTGAGCTTTTTAAACCTTGTGGGAACAAAAGGTTCCCCGTTGCTTGGAGGTTGCAGAGGTGTAATTGAGAGCAGAAATTGGCCAGCAATTCTGTTGACAGCATGTGAACCAGAACAAAATTTTGTATTTCCCTGAGGCTATTTTGGCCCTTTAGCATTAGGAAATACAAAATATACTTAGATTAGTCAGTAAGGCAAGCCGATGTGGTTCTGAATGCAGGCAAGGAGCAGTCCCATTGAGGAAGAAATAGTTATTTTTAGATAACTCTACATTTCTGCCTAATAGAAGCTAAAGGTAGTGCTCATCCCCCTCTTCTCTGCATCACTTCCAGGTTGACCTGTTCCAGCTCCAAGTGAACACTCTGCGACGTTACAAGAGACATTATAAGTTGCAGACTAGGCCTGGACTCAACAAGGCTCAGCTAGCAGAAGTAAGTGACGACAGAGGTAGTATCATCTCTGTTATTAAAAAACTCTTTATCTCTTCTGCTGAAGTGCACATTTCTTGGACACTAATACCTGTAGTACTCTCTCGCTAGTGTGTACTGCGTGCTCTGCGAAAGGTTTCGGGGGATGACATCAACAGAAAGCTGCGTGCTTTCTTTCACCTGAGACAGTCATGGAATACATGGAAGCTGGCTCTTGAAAGCATGTTTTAGTAACTTGCTTTTCTCTGATTCCTTTCCCTCCTTGTTCATAGTCACAATCCGTTACTTGTAGGGAACAGAAAGAGAACCTAGTTTCCAGTGACTTAGGTGTTAACTGAAGATGGCTGTTGTACTGAAACTCAGACTTACACACTACTAGTCACCTTAAGTGCCCCTGTTAGGTTTTTCTTTCCTCACAGGCACTTGAACTGGTTGGAATTGCTTCTTATTAAAGGCATAATCACTGACCATGACTTCAGATTCCTTATTTCCCTCCCTTGTGCTGATATCTTATGATTCTGTATTAAGTCAATAAAAGGCTCTTTCCTTAAGGGCCTCTACTGCTGCTTTCTCACCATATGGGGTACACGTTAAGAAAGAACTCTCTGTAACTCTCTGTTATTTGGGCTAGTTGTGCTTGGCGTGCATCTGCTCTGCTCTCTTTCCTGGCTTGATCCGAAGGCATCCTATGGGAATAGTCTTCTCTAAACTTGAAAAAAAACTGTAGCAGTTACTGAATGGTAACGAGGTTGTTTTTGTAAGCTGAGGCTTTCACAACTGTCTGCCCAAAACTGTCGGTTTTGCTTTAAAGAACAACAACCGGCAGACCAAAAAAGACAGCAAGACACTGTCTTGCTCTCTTTCAAAGTCAACTGGGCAACGAATATACAGAATGTCGAGAATGTGTAGTGTAGTGCATGTAGGAGTAAGGTGAACGAAGCAGGGTGGGTGTATGTCCTCATTAGTAGTTCTGATTTATCATGTTCTAACTAACCAGTTCATAATCTCTCAGCTACCTCCTGCCGTGAAGGACTACTTACTTAGGCAATTTACCATGAATGTGCCCAGGAAGAAAAAAAAAATAAAACTACTATGCAAGCGGAAAATAAAGGGAGCCTAACTTAAAGTTGTCACACACTTCCCAGATTTCCTGTGAAGTCTGAGCAGCTTTGACCCTACGCTGGATCCTCGTCCAGCTCCCATGCTTGAATCACTGCTGCCTGAGGCTCTTAGACTCCTGCTGCTACCCCACCGTAAGGAAAACTCAAACTTCCATAAATCTTCTTGGAGTGACTTATTGCTCAGCCTGCATCAACATCCAGTTCTGGAGCTGTGTTGGGTACCAAAAAAGAGCTTCTTCCATATGAGAAGCAGATCTCATCCAGCTCCAACATGTTTTCTACGTTCATTTTCTGAGGAAAAAGCAGCTAATGGTTCAGGGCTTATGCTAGTGTCAGAGAGGGGTAGCCCTAACCAAATCCTAACCCTCCCATTACAAATCCCTTGGTGTTCCTTCCAGTGAAAACTTATCCAGTGTGTTTTCCTTTGGACTCTAAAACTTTGCTACCTCTGGTTCACACAGCAAAGTGTTTCAATATTTCTGACACTCTCCTTTAAAATACTGAGATGCAGGGAAAACTTGCTCTCCAAATAACCTCGGCATGAAATGCCGCTTAGGAGAGGCTATGCTGCTTTGGCAGGAGGACATTCTGGCTTCCAAATTCCGCTTGTAGGTTGGCTGCAAATACTGCTGACATAGCAAGACTATGCTATGTTCATATGCACATTCCAGCTGTAAAGAGAGAGAGGGAGAGAGGTAAATGAGGACTGACAGTTTGAATTGGTGCATGTTTGACTAAAAGTATATTACGCTCAATGGCCATAAAATCGTTTTTGGAAAGTAAAGAGAAACCCTGTTCTGATTATTTCTACTTTTTAATTTCAGAATTTCTGTCTCTTTACATGTTGTCCTTCTAGACTGTCAGTCGTCACTTCAGGAATATTCCTGTGAATGAGAAAGAGACGCTTGCATATTTCATCTATATGGTGAAGAACAACAAGAGCAGGCTGGACCAGAAATCGGAAGGTAGCAAGCAACTAGAATGAAGATTAACAAGACTTGGAATAAGAGGGACCTTGAAGGAACAGATGGTATTGTGCATTTTAGGTATATAAAAACTGTTGAAGTATATTGTAAATTTTTTTTAAAATGCAGTAAGTCTGGATGACAGAAAAAAATACAGACATTCTTATCAGGAGTATTTGAAAACATGTGCCCAGCATGTTTCTGAAGACTTCTTCCCCTCATTTCAAAGTCGTGTTGGAATAAAGAAATGAGGATAATGGGGAAACCAAGTAAACCTGTAGGACTGTGGAGTTTGTCAACTCGGTGTTTTAAACCATTTCTGGAAATCTGCATCTCAGTGCAATTCAGATCACAGATGGAATTTTTTCACTGAATTCAGACTGCATCACAAACCACCGTGCAGTTTGTCTTGGCGCAGGACTGGAATAGCGGCAGAGATAAAATTCATTATTGAGGTGCATGGGTCAGAAGTTTGTCTGAAGCTTGCTCCCCACCTACACATGCTCTGTCTTGCCTTGAGTCAGTACTTCAAGTCCCAAATTTCTACAGATGCTCCAGCTCACCAAATCTACTCCAGTGAACACTACTTAACTAGTCTGAAATTGATTTTTTTTTTAAACCATTTTTCCTCCTGCCCCCTTCCGACATGGATGCCAAACAGCTCTCTGCAATCTCTTTTTGTAATTTCTTTTATTTAAGAACTCACTAATTAATTGTCTGTAAGCATTTAAACATTTCTGCATTTCCTCAGAATGTGGTGTTAAGGCAAATACAGCTTACTTGCTGGGTTTGATCATGTTGGTAGAAATGCTTGTTTAATTCACTTACACGTATTTCCCTTGTATTCAAGGCTCAGTGATGGTAGGTGAAACAATGGCTTAAGACATCTGTCTCTTAATCTCTGTGTCAGATCAGGTATCAGTCACAAGTGATGTGAATTTTATACTGAAGCTAGTCTTTAGCAGGTGTCACAAAACTGCTGTGTGGATTAGTGGGCTCGGCAGTCTCTGTTTAGTATAAAGCAGACTTATGCTAATGGGTGTAGCACCATAACCGGGGTAGTGAACTGACTGGAGCATGATGCATTTCATCTGTCTTTGCAACGGGCAAAAAGTATCGAAGCACGTGCCTTTTGTGAGCATTACGTGTGCTTTCGTAAGAGCTGTGTGAGTGGAGGGTGGCATGCTGGTGCTCTTTAACTGGGCGCTGTAGGAGGAGATCGCTCTGATTTTGTTGTTTAAAGCCAAGGTGTCCTTACAAATAACACAGTGGTTATTTTGGCAAAAGGAGCTTATAAAAGCATTCGTCGTGACTGACTGTTCTCCAGTGACCTCAAATTCTATTGAAGGGGATCTCATGATTTAAAGCACCACTCTGTTTCTTTGCTGTCCTAACCAATGTCTCCCTTCTGTTACAAGATGCCAAGACTCCGCATAGAGAGTATATTCTCAACAAGCCTTAATCAACGAACTGAACAGTAGAAGACTTCGGCTAGCGTTTTGTCAATGGCAGGTTTTAATATTACAAAAATGAATGAAGCTTTGTTGAAGAGCTAAACACACAGATCACGATCCCAGCTTAGTACTGCATCATGTTTTGTAAGGCATGAAGGGTTCGCCTAGTGAAGCTCTTGTTGAAGCTCTCCCAGGGTCTCTTTAAAAATCAAGTCACAATTTAAAGCAAGCTGTTCACGTCAGCTCTGAAGTGTTTGCTAATACTCCAAAAACACGTTCAACTAACTTCAACATGTCTAAGTCCTGTGTCATAGGCAGAAATACTCTGTTGTGGTACACGTCCCGTTTGTGAAGTTTTGGGGAGTGTGATTGTTTCAGCATTTCCTTGTTCGATTCAGTATGGATTTTAAGAACATCAGCCAGGAGAGAGGTTCAAGGAATGAGGAGAGAATGTCTTGCGTCGGTATTTCATGAATGTTTAAAAATTTCCTAATTATGCTGGTCCTTTCCTTATTGAAAGGATGGAGTAATTCCCACATCAGTCAAAATGATCTGGCTTCTCTCATTCAGGACAGATAGCTAAAAGGGTACGTTCTCTTGACTTGCATGTTAATCTTCAAAGTGCTCATGTAATCAGAGGATATTACCAAGGGAAAATGAGTTTCTGAGTTGAGAGGGTTATGCCTCATTGTAACTTCTAGACCAAAACTGTAAAAATGTAGTTTGTTTGGGGTTTACTTTTTTGTTGTTGTATTTTGTTTTGTTTTATTTCTAAGAGTAAATAAATCTGTTGGGGTGTTTTAGCAGCCAGCAGCAAAATGATTCTTTTCAAGGAAATATGGTGGCAGGTTCCATCTGTTCAGGTGTATTCACTGGAATGCTTTTGTGCAGAGGTGGTATCCAGGAAACTTTTTTTTTTTTTTTAAAAATAGTCATTTTGTGTAAAGTGTTCCCTTTTTGGTTTACTCTTAAAGCAATTATACCTTTTTGAAAAAATTCAACTTTTTTTTTTTTTCTGAAAATAGTCAATTGATGTGAAATGTGATCCTTGTTGGTTTCACTCTTAAAGCAATTATACCTTTTTGAAAAAATTCTTAGTGAGGTGTGATGATGAAGAGATGTTTACCAGCCATTAGCAGTTGTTTATAAGGTGGAAAGCTTGGAGGCAAGACACCAAAGAAACAGAATAATCTTTGGCTGTCGGGCTCCGTGGCCTTATAAACCCTTGCAAATGCCTTATTACCTTGTTCTCAACTTAGCTAGAGCAAAACGCCTTGAGCAAAAGAAAGCCGATGTCTTGTTGGAAGGGTTAGCCGCTTTATGGCTCCCATGCTATAAACTGAAATCACACGTCAATTCAGTAGCAATATCCATGTTCAGGGTGCCTGTGATTCTTGAAAAGCATTTAGTGTCTAATAACCAGAAAACACAACAATGCAATTGTCGTTCTGTATAATACCATTCTGTGTATTTGATTCCTTATGCTGCATGCCAATTAAAAAAGACTTTCCAACTTTTTGTTTTAAACTTCAAAGTAAATGTGTTTGAACCTCACACTTGTGAAGCCATGAGGTGGGACATTTTCTCAGCACTTTTAGATGGGACTTGTTGGAAAGGTGGAAGACCCAAATCGCTTTGGCTGGTATGATAAGATTTTTTTTTTTTTTTTTGCCTTCTACGTTTTGCTTTTCACAGATGGGCCTTAAATTCTGTCTAGCTTTGAACCATGGAGCACAAGCCTTGGGGGCATGGAGGATGACCAGATGTCATCTTCCATTTCTAATAGTGGAAGCTTATTTATTACAAGCCTGCGTTGGTGACATTCACCCTGGGGCAGAGGAATCATCTTTGAAGCCTTCCAGCCATTATATAGCCTAATTCAATTACATAGCCAAATTAATTCTCATTGAAGAGTTGCATTAACTTCATTAGACTTCTGAATAGATCCAAAGCCATTAGTATGAAATCCAAATAATGCGGAAACATCTCTTCCGGGGTTAATTTCATCCTGTATGCTGACCCTCTGCTCACTTTAAGTGAAGAAGAAGAAATTATTGCTGGTAGTTACTGGCTTGAGTTCAGCTGAAGGAAGTTGGAAGCATGCAAAGACTTGAGTCGGTGGCAATCTGATGGCTGAAAAGTGCAAATATATTCAAGGAAGCTGTGTTAGAATGCAGTTTTTCTTAAAATTTCTGCATCTCAAAGAATGTTGTATATCAACCTGAAGTAAACAATTGCATTAAAAGCTAATGTTTTTTTTTTGCCAGGCACTTTAGATGCTCAGCCTGAGAAAAGCAGAGTAGGCAGGTTTGTACCACTTGTCCCCAGTACTCTGGTGTCCTGGTTTTCCTTAGAAATGTGGCTGCAAACCACTAGATAGCCTAGAGTGCAAGACTTGACCAAAACATACCAAGTCTGGCATTTAAAGTTAGTCTTAAGTGCAAGCTGGCTTCAGAGAGGTTTTGAAATCAAGAGCCAAAATAATCCACAGTAAGTGCGAGTTTTCAAGCGGGTCATGATGGCACAGAGAAGATGAAATAGGACGTGGCCCACAGAGGGACTGAACAAAACACGCTTCCACAGTTAGCAACGTGGAGGAAGATTTGTTCTGTGTTAGCTCTTGTAATGGATGTTTTATGAGAGGGGAAGAAGGGGGGAGCTGTGCACTTTACGTCTTTTGGTTGAGCCAAATGTAAATACCAATGGGAGATCTTCAGCAGTAACTGCAGTCGGAGGGGAGAGAAATGGTCTGCTGGGGGACTGTTTATTTAAATTCGCAGATCGTTATACTTCCCCAGAGCACTAGAGTCACTTTGCCTCTACAGTTTAAAAGAGTGGGTAATAACGAGCTAGCCTCCTGTACAAAAGGAGTCCTTGTACTGCCCAGAGTATTGACTGAAGAGTCCCAAAGGTGAAGGAATGTTATTGATGCCTCACTCCTCTTGTCACCGATGCCCTTTAGCCACCTCTAGCTTATCAAGTTAGGGAGTTTTCATTTTCCACTTTCAAAGTGCAAATGAACTGTTATGATGTAAGATACTCCTTGCACTTTTCACAGCTGTCCCTGCTCTCGCGTTTTTGACTAGCCTGTGAACACATCTGTTTGGAATGAATTAAATGGTTGAAGAAAGTGTGGGGAGAGGAGGGGGGCTCCTGCCTTAAACCTGAACTTCCCTTGCGAGCAACTCTGCAGGCCATCCTGTACATCAGCAGGCTCCAGGAGCCTCTCGCTTAGCTGAGCCCTGACGGGGCTGGGTTTGCTCGTGTCCTAGCCGCAGCTCTCTGCTCCCCGGCTACAGTGCAGGGGAGGGGAATAGCAGGTAACTTGCAGAATGGCTTGGAGTTTTAGCGGGCTTACTGGGAGAGAAAAACTGTGTTCCCTCTTCTGTTTCTGGCCTCCATGTATTGTGCTGATCTTATGCCAAATGTTTTGGACACCTTGTATTTTTAACTGTGTAATATAGCTGTGTATTGTTAAAGCAACTTAGTAACTTATAGCAAAAACTGTAGAACTCATTTCTCTGAGGTGTAGGAAATGTCCTGCTTCCACTGTGTATGAGACTAACTCTGTACTGTCTGACAAAGATAAAATGCTGAATTTCACTTTAATAAATGATCTATCTAGCAACAAGGCCTACATTCCCTTCTGTTTGCCTTTCTGCCCTTAGCACTGTTGGCTCCAGAGCCAATGGAGTTTTGCTTTGCATGGATGTTTTGTGCCAGGCTTCTCTGATTCACTGTCACTTCCCACCCACCTCCCCAGGGCTGAAAATATTGCAGACATGGAGGGGAGAATGGCGCTGCTGACTAGGATATGTCAAGCCTGAAGTAGAAAACTCAGGTGATGGGATATTTTGTGACAAACCTGTGTGGGTTGCATGGATGCAAATCATGGAGTCTTTTGAATGCAACAAAAAAAAAGACCTCACAAGAAAGACGGACGTTGTTGGAGATGTGCGTGACCTTGTATTTTGGGGAGTGTTGAGCTTTTCTATGATAGGGATATTTCCCCACCCCCATCATAAACATGTCAATCAAGTGCAGCGTCTCATTTGATTCGTGTTTGTTAATTAATCTTTTTTATGTCTAGTTCAACCCTGTGCTTCTGTTTCCTTCTCAAGTACGCCCTTGGCTACGTTTCATGCATGACTTCTAGCTCCTGTTGTCCAGAGTCGAAGCTGCATGCCCAGCTGACAAGGTGGGTGCTACTCCAGAGCAATGCTGACATGTAGCATCCCAATGTTCAATCAGTTAAGGTACAAGATCCTTTTCCATGTAGTGCTTTGTTTCATTTCTCTTTCCCATATTGCTCTTCCTCCTGACCGTGAGCCTTATAGGCAAAGGTGCCTCGCGTTTTTGCTGCAGTGAGGAAGCGAGGGATGCCAGAAACTGGAGTTTGAATACTTGTTCTCCTGAACCTTGTCATGGCATTTCCTAAGGCTCTGCTGGCACCCTCTGAGGCATGCTTTAGCTTTGCTTTTTAACCAGGAAAGAGGTCATAGTGTAGCTTTTCAGACACTTGGGTTCTCATGGAGGAGGATGATAGGATGTTGAGAGCTTTGCACTCAAAATACATTACCTGAATTTATCACTGTCAAATTAAATTGCACTGTTGATGTGCAGTAAAGATTTGCACAGATAATTCTCCCTGAAACAATCCCACATCATCTTTCGTATCCTTATTCCTTGGTGCTGTCCTACAGCCAACTGACCTGTCTGCTTATCATCGTTCAATTCATGGCAAGGGATAAAATACCCTCTGGGAGGAGGGTGGCAGCTTGTGTTGCCGTTGTATGGTGACTTCCAGCCATGCAGAACGTACCCATTTATACTGCCAGTGATGGACGCAGGAGACACTTGGTCCCCCCTGTCCTACATCCCAGGGTATTAGCTTTCAGTAGCAAGGGAGTGGGGACTGCAGGGAAGAGACCTTAGAGAGCCGAATGTGTTGATGCTTTACTAAGCTGTGAGAAACAATCAATGATAAGTAGTTATGTTGGAGCCTAATATTCTCTTAGCTAAAGACTGACCTCGATGTATTGGAGAGCTGGGGGGAGACTGAGCTGGCACGTCAGAAACAGACCCAAATGTCCTCAGTGCCTCCATTTGTGGACGTGTCTAGAGGCCTTTGCAATGGTCCAGGATCTTTTTGTGCGAGGCAGCATGCTGCCATGCTACAAGAGTGTTGTCCCTGTCAGCTGAAGAAGGCAAGACCAGAGGTGACACAGGTGGGCACCACGAAACAAAGGAGCAAGGGTAGATCACTTCACAGGACATCACCTGCATGTTGTCAAGCTTTTTTAGGAGGTATCGGGGAAAGGTCTTCAGGTGAGGACGAGGGCAGCATACCCCAGTGGAAGGGGAAAAGCCATGTCATTTGCATTCCCAAATTGGTGAGTGTGGGCTCTTCTGCCAGCGCAGTGAGAGGGTGTCCTGCCCAGAGAGGAACAGCAGAAGGGCCGAAGGAGGACAGCTGTAAGCAGCAACCTGCTGTGCAGGTGCCGTCCTTAGCATGAGAGGGTATAATGGAAACTCCAGTGATACAAATAAACTCTGCCAGTTAATCTGTTATTTGTATAGGCTAATGAATAATGCTGCTTAATCTCATGTTTGCTCCCTGCCAAGAAACCCACAGAAGATTTCAAGCTCAAACCAAGGAGGAATCTGCTCAGCCTTTTTAACGTACTCACGCTGAGAAACTAAGCAACCAGCAGATTGATCGGATGGGCCTAAAACTGCACGTCCCTCTCTCCGCTCCCTGCTGCCGTGCGAGGGCAGTGTTAGCTCAGTAACCCGGGTGGTGGGTGCTCTGCAGCTGCACCTCTGAGCCCAGGGCAGCTGGCTGGGGGACCAGAGCCATTGTCCCATCCCCAAGATGCCTCCTCGGCAGGAGCTGGCTGTACTTGT